TCGTCTCGTTAGCTTTCAAAAATGGAACGACGTATATAAAAGGGGACGCTTGAAGCACGAGAGGAATCATGTCGGTGACTATGCGAATAAAGGTGTACGAGGACGGAGTCGAACGTGTGTTAGAGAGGACATGGTCGGCTGCAGAATTGATCCGCGATTTCGAATCCGAGATTCCCGGAGAGATGACTCTGTCTTTATGCATTCGGGTCGGAGAGAAAGAAAGCATGTACGATAGCGGACGATCCTCGTGGCTGTGGGGCCGTGACTGCTACATGTTCAGACTTTAGAGATGTTTCCTGTTGCAGGCCGGTTTTCGGTCCGTCGAAACTCCGATTCTGACGCTGGATCTGACCAACGTAGCCAGAAACGACGTCGTCGCCAAGCTTCTCTTCGAGTTCATCGACGGATACCGAGGAGGTGGTGGAGGACCCGAACTCTTGCATTACGACGACGTTTCCTGGTACGTCGACGCCGCCGCCATATTGACCACCGTCCAAGGCCAAGATTCTGTGATGGAGAGGTTGTACCTCAGCGCGGAACAGAGACTGACGAGCTGCAAAGACCCGGAAGAGGTTTGCTCTTTCGGGCAAAGACTCTCCTCCTTCATGGAATCGGATAAGATAATCGACGAGCGGTGGGAGACACTCTTCGCCTACTGCGAATGGTTCCTAATGGAAAGTTGGCCGGCGAGGCCTGGCAAAACCGAACGAATCGCATGGAGAGGCGCCTTCATTCCAGTTCGAAAGAAGTAGTTAACAAAAAAAATATTTTATGTTATTTTACTGGAAAAATTTACAATATTAAAAATTGGAAAAAAGAAGTTTAAATTGTTTTCTTTCCTTCTCATTTTGTTACGAAGTCTAAATTTGTGTGAGTGTGTGAGTGTGTGGCTGTGAAACATCATTATTTTGTCATTAATTCGCTAGAGTCACGTTCGTCGTGAAAGTCAACAAAGATATCGAAATATTGGCAATATAATTTTCGTGGGTAACGAAGTCACTAAGAACAAACATCATCACTTCTCTGGATGTACACACACACACACACACACACTCACATACACGCGGGTAAGAAAGATAAAAACGCAATTTATTCTTTTTGTCAACAACTTTTATTTTTTCTACATTCTATCTACATTTTTTTTTATCTCTTGGATTTTAAACAACAACTTTACAACTGTGGAAGATGAAGTTGGCTCTTTTTCTCGATGCTGTCGAAGAGCAGGAAGAGGACGGTTCGCCGTTCTTTTTTATGGACAGGTAACGTCCGGTGGCCATATTCTTGAACGCGCTACCTTTCCACGTCTGTTTCTCCTGCCAGTGACAGAGGTCCCCTTCGCACTCGTCAACGGCCGTTATCGTTCCGTTTACTTCCGAGGACAGGTATCTACCCGAGCGGCATGACCGCATAGTGAAGCTGTTGATCGTAGCCGACGATCTCTGCAAGTATTCGGCGTCACCCTGCGTCGTGGTATTCACTCCGGCGCCGACGGACAGAGAGTAACCGGACCGACTCGTCAACATGCATGCGAATCTCCCGACCTCGCAGTGCGTGCCGAAGGCTACGGTGCACAGAGCGCAGAGCAACAGAATCTTGTTCATCGTCTCGTTGATCGTTTTCGACTGTCTCTGTATTGCCTCGTCGCTTATATTAGGTGGAGAAAAGGAAACTCGATGACGTGCGTACTACGTCATCTAACTTGCTGTGACGTCAAACGTACAGACCGGTCGTGTCGACGATCATCTTCAGAAACATTGTGTCGTCTTTGACGTAAACGGGATTTTTCAGGATGACCTGAGAAGCGAAGAGAGTGCATCCGGAAGCTATGTTCATGTCGCCGGTCGGTCTTTTGAAGCTGCTGCTTCGAGGGTCCGGTTTGAAGCTGTCCGAGAGCGTGAGCTTTCCGTCGTTCTGGTCGAGCAGCAGCATCGTCACCTTTAGATCGAACGGCCATTTGAGTAGAGCGTCGTA